GATTGGATATAACAGGGAATGGGCGTGGTCTGGGTGGGTTTTCCCGGGTTTTATGAAGATGGGTGTGGCCTGGTTGGGCGTGGCTTGTTCCTGGGTGGGTGTGGTCACCTTGGCCCCGCCCCCAGGGCACCGGAAGCGCTCGGGGGCGTGGCCTGGGTGGGTTTTCCTCCATTCTGAACGGGTTTAATTGGGTTTAATGGGGGTGGGCGTGGTCTGGGTGGGCGTGGCTTGTTCCTGGGTGGGTGTGGTCAGTGTGGCCCCGCCCCCAGGGCACCGGAAGCGCTCGGGGGCGTGGCCTGGGTGGGTTTTCCTCCATTCTGAACAGGTTTAATTGGGTTTAATGATGGTGGGCGTGGCCTGGGTGGGTTTTTTCTGTGTTTAATGAATGTGGGCGTGGCCTGGGTGGGCGTGGCCATGTCCGAGGTGGGTGTGGTCACCTTGTCCCCGCCCCCAGGGCACCGGAAGCGCCCGGGGGCGTGGCCTGGGTGGGTTTGATTTGCCATAACAGGGAGTGGGTGTGGTCTGGGTGGGTTTTTCCGGGTTTTACGAGGGTGGGCGTGGCCTGGGTGGGCGTGGCTTGTTCCTGGGTGGGTGTGGTCACCTTGGCCCCGCCCCCAAGGCACCGGAAGCGCTCGGGGGCCTGGCCTGGGTGGGTTTGATTGGATATAACAGGGAATGGGCGTGGTCTGGTGGGTTTTCCCGGGTTTTATGAAGGTGGGTGTGGCCTGGGTGGGCGTGGCCAGGTCCGGGGTGGGTGTGGTCACCTTGGCCCCGCCCCCCAGGGCACCGGAAGCGCTCGGGGGCGTGGCCTGGGTGGGTTTTTCTCTATTCTAAAGGGGGGGTTTTTGGGTTTAATGGGGTGGGCGTGGCCTGGGTGGGCGTGGCTTGTTCCGGGTGGGTGTGGTCACCTTGGCCCCGCCCCCAGGGCACCGGAAGCGCTCGGGGGCGTGGCCTGGGTGGGTTTTTCCTGGTCCAGGATGGTTTTTTTTGGGGTTTAACAGGTGTGGGCGTGGCCTGGGTGGGCGTGGCCAGGTCCGGTGTGGGTGTGGTCACCGTGGCCCCGCCCCCAGGGCACCGGAAGCGCTCGGGGGCGTGGCCTGGGTGGGGTTTCTCTATTCTGAATGGGTTTAATTAGATTTAATTGGGTTTAATGAATGTGGGCGTGGCCTGGGTGGGCGTGGCTTGTTCCGAGGTGGGTGTGGTCACCTTGGCCCCGCCCCCAGGGCACCGGAAGCGCTCGGGGGCGTGGCCTGGGTGGGGTTTTCTGAGTCCGGAATGGGATTTTTTTGGGTTTAAGTGGGAAGGGGCGTGGCCTGGGTGGGTTTTATGAATGTGGGCGTGGCCTGGGTGGGTGTGGTCACCTTGGCCCCGCCCCCAGGGCACCGGAAGCGCTCGGGGGCGTGGCTGGACCGCGAGGGGCGCCGCGTGGCTCCCGGGGACGCCGTTCTGGTGGCCGGACAGCGGCAGGGACGGGCGCGGTTCTACGGACGCACCGACTTCGCACCCGGTGAGAGACCCMAAAACACCCCAAAATTATCACAAATTTGGGTAAAATATTATATTTAAATTTATTCATTTTAATTTAAAAAAATCCCGAAAGAAACCGGTGTAAAAATAGAAAAAATGACCAAAAAATACCGTAAAAACTGGAAAAATGCCCCCAAAACTGCTGAAGATCACCCAAAAATCTCCCCAAAATTATCACAAAATTATCACAAATTTGGGTAAAAATAGTAAATTTAAAAATTATTAATTTTTATTTAAAAAAAAATCCCCAAAAAAATGGCATAGAAATAGAAAAAATGACCAAAAAAAAATCACAAAAAGACAAAAAAAAATCACCCGAAAATTATCCCAAAATGATCCCGAAGTTACCACAAATTTGGTTAAAAATGTTAAATTTAAAGAAAACAATTAAACTTTCTAAAAAGATCCCCCCAAAAAATGTTGTAAAAATAGAAAAAAAATGCCATGAAATTGTCTTAAAAATGAAAGAAAAAGCCCACAAAACTGCTGAAAATTGCCCTAAAATTTTCACAAATTTGGTTAAAAATACTGAAAATTTCTGTAAAAATATAAAAAATGCCATAAAAAGAGGAAAAAGTTCCCCCGGAACTCCCATATCACCCTCCAAATCGCCCCAAAATTTTCACAGAATTGGTTAAAAATATTAAATTCAAAAATAATTAAATTAAGTTTAAAGAAAAACCAAAAAAACCTGTAAAAATAAAGAAAAAAATCCTAAAAAAATCCCATAAAACCAAAAGAAAATCCACTAAAAATCAAAAAAAAACCCCCAAAATGATCCCTGAATGGGTTAAAAAAAAAAATTTAAAGAAAATTAACATTTTTTAACCAAAATCTCGTTTTTTCACCCCAAATTTTTTTTTCAGGTTACTGGTTCGGGGTGGAGTTGGACACGGCGGGAGGGAAACACGACGGCTCCGTTTTTGGGGTGCGCTACTTCAGCTGCCCCCCCAAACACGGGGTCTTTGCACCCCCCTCCAGGGTCCAGAGGTATTTTGGGGGAAAATTGGGAGATTTTGGGAAAATTGGGAAAAAATTGGGAAAAAATCGGGTGAAAATTGGGCGAAAAACGGCGAAAAAATGGCAAAAAATGACAAAAAATGGGGAAAAATAGGGAAAAAGAAGAGAAAATTTGGGAAAAATTGGGAAAAAATTGGGGAAAAGGTGGGGGAAAAATTGGGGAAAAAGTGGGGAAAGTTAGGGAAGAATTGGGAAAAGTTTGGGAAAAATTGGGGAAAAAATGGTGAAAAATTGATGAAAAAATGGGGAAAAATGGTGAAAAAGAAGGAAAAATTGGGGAAAAATTGGGAAAAAATTGGGGAAAAGTTGGGGGAAAAGTTGGGGAAAAATTGGAGAAANTAACCAAAATCTCGTTTTTTCACCCCAAATTTTTTTTTCAGGTTACTGGTTCGGGGTGGAGTTGGACACGGCGGGAGGGAAACACGACGGCTCCGTTTTTGGGGTGCGCTACTTCAGCTGCCCCCCCAAACACGGGGTCTTTGCACCCCCCTCCAGGGTCCAGAGGTATTTTGGGGGAAAATTGGGAGATTTTGGGAAAATTGGGAAAAAATTGGGAAAAAATCGGGTGAAAATTGGGCGAAAAAACGGTGAAAAAATGGCGAAAAATGACGAAAAATGGGGGAAAATGGTGAAAAAGAAGGGAAAATTGGGGAAAAATTGGGAAAAAAATTGGGAAAAATTGGGGGAAAAGTTGGGGAAATATTGGGGAAAGTTAGGGAAGAATTGGGAAAAATTTGGGAAAAATTTGTAAAAAATTGGGGAAAAATTGTGAAAAATTGGGGAAAAATGGCAAAAAATGGTGAAAAAATGGTGAAAAAGAAGGGAAAATTGGGGAAAAAATGAGAAAAAAATTTGGGAATAATTGGGGGAAAATCGGGGGAAAAATTGGGAAAAGTTAGGGAAGAATTGGGAAAAATTTGGGAAAAATTTGGAAAAAATTGGGGAAAAAATGGTGAAAAATGATGAGAAAATGGGGAAAAATGGTGAAAAAGAAGGGAAAATTTGGGAAAAATTGGGAAAAAATTTGGGAATAATTGGGGGAAAAGTTGGGGAAAAATTGGGGAAAGTTAGGGAAGAATTGGGAAAAATTTGGGGAAAATTTGTAAAAAATAGGGGGAAAACGGTGAAAAAATGGTGAAAAATGACGAAAAAATGGGTAAAAAATGGTGAAAAAGGGGAAAATTGGGGAAAAATTGGGAAAAAATTGAGGAAAAAGTGGGGGAAAAATGGGTGAAAAATTGGGAAATGTTAGGGAAGAATTGGGAAAAATTTGGGAAAAATTGGGGAAAAAATGGCAAAAAAATGGGGAAAAAATGGGGAAAAAATTATAAAAAAGAAGGGAAAAATTGGGAAAAAATTGGGGAAAAAAATTGGGGAAAAAATTGGAAAAAATTGGGGAAAAATTTGGGGAAAATTGGAGGAAATATTGGGGGAAATTGGTGTAAAAAATTTTGGAAAAAAAAATTGGGGAAAAATTGGAGAAAAAATAGAAAAAATTGGGGTGGAATTGGGGGATTCGGGGACACTGAGGTGACGTCATTGACGTTGGCCCCGCCCCCTTTCCGGCCCCTCCCCCAGGGTGGGCGGTCCCAAGGAGGAGCCCGGAGATGGCGGCGCTGAGAAAACACAGCCGGTGACAGGTGAGGGGGCGGGGCTTGGGGTGATTGACAGGTGGGCGGGGCTTGGGAATGACTGATAGGTGGGTTGGGTCATGATTGACAGGTGGGCGGGGCACGGTGGGGAATGATTGATGGGTGTGTTGGGTGATGATTGACAGTTGGGTGTGGATGGGCAATGATTGACAGAATGGGTTGGGTGATGATTGACAGGGTGTGGCAGTGATTGACAGGTGGGTGTGGTAATGATTGACAGGTGGGTGTGGTGATGATTGACGGGTGTGGTAATGATTGACAAGTGGGTCAAGCAATGATTGACAGCTGGGCGGGGATGGGAAATGATTGACAGGTGGGCAGGGCGGGGTGGGGAATGATTGACGGGTGGGTTGGGTGTTGATTGATAGATGGGTGTGGCAGTGATTGACAGGTGGGTAGAGGRATGATTGACAGCTGGGCRGGGCTGGGAAATGATTGACAGGTGGGTGTGAGAGTGATTGATGGGTGGGTGTGGCAATGATTGATGGGTGGGTGTGGCAGTGATTGACAGGCAGGTGTGGCTGTGATTGACAGGTGGGTAGAGCAATGATTGATGGCTCGGCTGGGCTGGGAAATGATTGACAGGTCTGGGTGATGATTGACAGGTGGGGCTGGGCAATGATTGACAGGTGAGGCAGAGATTGACACGTGGGTGTGGCATTGATAGGGCAGGGCAGTGATTGACAGCCGGTTAAAGCAGTGATTGACAGGTGGGTGAGGCAGTGATTGACAGGGTGGGCTGGGTAATGATTGACAGGTGAGTGTGACAGTGATTGACAGGTGGGTAGAGCAATGATTGACAGCTGGGTGGGGCTGGGAAATGAGTGACAGGTGGGCGTGGCCAGGGCAATGATTGACAGCTGTTTAAGGCCATGATTGACAGGTGGGCGGGGCTGGAGCGATGATTGATAGCTGTGTACAGCGTTGATAGGTAGGTGGGGCCAGGAGATGATTGACGGCTGTGTAAAGCACTGATAGGTGGGCGGGTCCAGGGCTATGATTGACAGATGGATAGAGCAATGATTGACAGCAGGGCGGGGCCAGGCAATGATTGACAGGTGGATAGAGCAATGGTTGCCGGGTGGGCGGGGCCAGGCAATGATTGACATCCATGTGGGCATGGCCTGGGTGATGATTGACAGGTGTATAAGGTGTTTATTGTCAGGTGGGCGGGGCTGGGGGATGATTGACAGATGGGTAGAGCAATGATTGCCGGGTGGGCGTGGCCTGGGGCATTGACTGATATCCATGTGGGCGTGGCCTGGGTGATGATTGACAGATGGATAGAGCAATGATTGCCAGGTGGGCGGGGCTGGGGCAATGATTGACAGGTGGGCATGGCCAGGGCAATGATTGACAGATGGATAGAGCAATGATTGCTGGCTGGGCGGGGCCAGGCAATGACTGACAGCCATGTGGGTGGGGCCAGGGTGATGATTGACATCCATGTAGGCGGGGCCAGAGCAATGATTGACAGCCATGTGGGCGTGGCCAGG